TTATTGATTTCAGAGAGAGGAAGGGAGAGGGAGAGAGAGAGATAGAAACATCAATGATGAGAGTCATCAATTGGCTCCCTCCTGCACTCCCCCACTGGGGACTGAGCCTGCAACCTGGGCAGGATGCCCTGACCGGAAATTGAACTCCGATCTCCTGGATCCTAGGTTGATGCTCAACCGCTGAGCCACGCCCGGCTGGGCAGTAAACACTTTTTAAAGACAGTTTGTCTGACGCTGTACTAATTGATGGTGGGGATATAAAAAATAATATAGTCCTTACTTACCAGAAGTAGTGAGGAAGACAGATGTGAGCAAATATTTTAGCTCAGTGTAAGTGCTAGAATCAGAACATATACAAAGTGATTTGAAAGCTTTGAGAGTCACTAAAAGCCTACAGGTGTTGAAGATCCTAGAGGAGGTAATATTTTAACTTGTTTGCATGATCCTTGAGTTAAAAGGAAGAGAGGACAGATGGTTTAGGAGAGGGTACTACTTAGATGTAGTGCAAGCATGACTACATCTGGTGCGTGGAGGGTGAAGGTAGGAGAGAGGGGGGTCAAAAACCACTTAGGGAGGAAGGAGTTAGGATGTTTCTGCTATGTTATCATGAACCTTTGAAGGTTCTTTAGGCAAGTCAGCTTCTTTGAAAAGATAACTAGCAGCAGTAGTTGAGATGGACTCTATAGAAATTAGTTGTTGAAGTGATTGTTCACATGAGATAATCCAAACTAAGCCAACAGCAGGGATGGATGGGAAAATAAGGTATATTAGAGTGAGTAATAAATAGAAATAAATGGGTAACTAGTTGGTTGTGTATGGAGAGGGAGAAAAAGGACCCAATAACTTAGAGGTTTCTAAAGTAGTTAATTGAGTACATAACAGTGCTATGTAAATGAATAACCTAGATCTCATAAATTTAGTACATTGGAGACCAAAAGGTGGAAATTACTAGGCAGACAAGTGGCAGCGAATCTTCACAAGTCCAGTTGGCTAAACTTGCTAGGGTAAAGAACCAAATTAAATAACATGAATATGATGTGAGAAATATATCATTGAAAGAATTGTCTATAACTTGAGGTCTAAGAGCTTTTTGCTCTGTGGGAATTGAGCCTTCTTCCTTACTCCCTTCTGTCCCCTTTTCCCTAACCTCCCCAATGTATAAGTCTATTTTGGTCAATATATATGATTTTCGTACTCTTACAAGAACACATTATATAGAAAAGCAGAGAATTGTCTGTAAACTCATATTACAGAAAATTTATACAAGGTCTATGGAGTGTTAAGGTTATACAATTAATAACAAAACTTGTACTTGAACTTGGGTCTGTCTGAGTCTACATCCCCCCCCCCATAACATGTATGTTGTACTACATTTTAAAAGGTGCAGCTCAGTGATTTTTTAGAGTGTATGAATTCATGCAACAACTATCCAAATCAAGATATGGAACACCACTAGCATTCTGGAAACTTGCCCCTCTTGTTTTCTCTCAATCATTAGCTGCGGACCACCACCAGGCACTGTTCTGCTTTCACTCTAGACTTATTTTGAATTTTATGTAAATTCATTTCATGGATGGATGTACTCCATGGGTATTTGAAAGAGGATTTATCAACAGTATCAAGTGCAGGAAGTATTAAAGGGAGGTCGGTGGGTTTGGAAAGGGGTGGAGAAATTTCATTGTTGCAGGAGGCGAGGAGTTCTAGAAGTTTAAACTAGGAGACGAAGTGAAGACAAAGCATCTGGACTCCTCCTCCATTCCCAGCCAGATTTCCTGTGAAGTGTCCTGTAGTGGGATATTGAGTTAGTGGTAGGTGTCTGAGAAGGAAAACAAGTCAGGCTTTTAAACAGTATTTGTTTTTATCTTTTATTGAGCAAGTGACAGACTTTTAGTTTAAAACATTTTCTACAGTGTGTGTCATTGTCAGTTTACTCTGTGGGTGTATAATTTGTATACATTGAATGTGTTGCTGTTTAAGTTTCTCAGGATAATTTTTATTTTGTTTTCAGGAGTTATGGTACAGCACCTGTAAATCTTAACATCAAGACAGGAGGAAGAGTTTATGGAACTACAGGTAAAATTTTTATTTGCAGCTGCATCAGTAGAAAATAAGGCATATATATGAGTAGGTGATAAATGATTGTAATAACTGTTACAGCGCAATTAAAAATATCAGTTTTACCCTGCCCGGTTTGGCTCGGTTAGAGCATCGGCCCTCAGACTAAAGGGTTCCAGGTTCAATTCTGGCTAAGGGCATATACCTCGGTTGCAGGCTGGATCCCTGACCCTGGTTGGGGCATGTGTGGGAGGCAACTAATCCATGTGTCTCACATCGATGTGTCCCCCCCCAAAAAGCAATGGAAAAAATATCTTTGGGTGAGGATTAAAAAAATATATATTTTTTGTGTGTGTGTGTGTGTGTGTGNTCTTTGGGTGAGGATTAAAAAAATATATATTTTGTGTGTGTGTGTGTGTGTGTGTGTGTATGTATAAAATAGATATCAGTTTTCACCATATATTACAGGGCTAGATAAAGATTTTAGGCCCTGTGGGCCATAAAGTTCCTGCCATGGTGGGGTTTTTTTGTTTTTTCTTTTACTTGTTTGTCTTATAACCCTTTAAAAATGTAAAAACATTTCTTAGCTCACAGCCTGTACAAAAACTAATTTAAAACATGGAAGTTAGCAACTTCCTAGTGGTATAGGAATCCCTTATTGTAAATAACAAGTTTGTAATCTCTCTGTCCATTTTATCTTATAGCTATACAATTAAGTTAGACCTTACCTTTTCTTTATGGTAAACAGTACTCTAATGCTTTGTTTGGAACCTTTACCATATTTAGTGCAACAGTAAAAAGATATCACACTATCTTTCAGCTTCTTACTAATGTAGCTCCTTCACTATTTTGTAATTTTATAAAACAGGAACAAAAGTCAAAGGGGTAGACCTTGATGCACCTGGAAGCATTAATGGAGTTCCACTCTTGGAGGTAGATTTGGATTCTTTTGAAGATAAACCATGGCGTAAACCTGGTAAGGTTATTGTGGATTATATTGGTTTCAAAAGATTTATAGTATAAATAGTCATTAGAAAAGTATTTTTCAGTATCAATTTAGAGTATTGTTTTAATGTCATTTCTGTAGTCTTAAGCTCATGAGAGTAATAATGAATTAATATAATAATAAATTAATCATTAATAATGAATTTTTTAAATCTTGCTGATAGCCTAGCATTATATTAAAGTAGACTTGCATATTGCTTTTTTATAATGCATTTCTAAAGGAAATAATTTTGATCAAAAATTCTTACAGTTCTATTGCTTTATGGTAATTGGGAGAGCTGGTAAAATTAGAAAAGGTAGTAAGACTAATAGGACTCTAAATTTATATTTTGTAGTTTATTATATTTTATATGCCACATAAAAAATAGAATTGAAATATTTGTACACTAACAGTGTGTTTTATCTTTAGGTGCTGATCTTTCTGATTATTTTAATTATGGGTTTAATGAAGATACCTGGAAAGCTTACTGTGAAAAACAAAAGAGGATACGAATGGGACTTGAAGTTATACCAGTTACCTCTACTACAAATAAAATTACGGTAATTAATAAATGTTCCAAAACACTCCAGTGTTTTCAACTGTCCCAGTTTTACTTCCCAAATAAATCACTTTTTCCTCTAAAGGTGATTAAAAGCTATATGATAGTTTAAAAATTCCATTCTTTTTACCATGTTTGTTTTTTTCTCTTCCTTCCCTTTTAGTTTCATATTAATGATTTTCTGATGTTCTTAGTTTCAAGTCACAGACTAGCCACAGCTAGTTTGTCTTTATATGGCCTATTAATTAAAAATTATGTGGTATCTTAATGGGGAATATGTTATTTAACTTAGGCCGAAGACTGTACTATGGAAGTTACACCAGGTGCAGAGATCCAAGATGGCAGATTCAATCTTTTTAAGGTGAATTTTAGTAAATTATCCTTGGTTGCTCTCATTTTTTTATTTTTATTTTTTTTTTGTTCTTGAGTCTGCTTCCATACCACTACTCAAGGGACCAGATTAAAGTGGAAATAGCTCCTTTTTTCCAAACCTTCAGCTTCCTGGTGACTTACAAATTTGCTGATTGTTGTTTTTATCTCCACTTTTGCAAGCATGTGAATTTATAGCCTATTATACTAACATGCCAAGTAAAACTATTCTTGCTATATGTTGTGGTTTTATTTTGAGTCATTGTATATGTTTGTAGGATATAAAAGTTCATGCCAGCAGGTTAAGCTGTTATTATAGATCATGCTATAATCTCAGAATTAGAGATTAATTTTTCCTAATTTTTTTTTTTAAAAATGGTAAGGAAGATGACTTATTAGTATGACACTGAAATTATTGGTGTAGTCTAAGATAGCTCAAGAATCTTACGCATTCTTTGTGAGTCCCTAAGACTCAGCGAAATAGGATAAAGCCATTGATTTTTAAATTCTTCGAAAAGGAGTAGGTTTAGTGAGGGACTTGAAGGTTGATATTACTACCACTTGGACACCAAGTCTGACTTCTGGCTTCTCTATTCCATATAATCACAGACCCAGTCCAAAGAATAATGTATTTTCTTACTTCTGCAATACATAGCAACCTACTCTTGATTGTATACTCTTCTTTCTTTATCTTAATTCTTGAATCTTATATTGAATGACACTGGGATGAAGACGGGGAGTGGCTTTTAGACTGGTTTGTATATTTAGGGAAATTTTTGGGCAGGAACTTTTTTGTGCCCCTTTTGGGACTGCAGCTCTTTCCACTGAAATAGTGCCTTATGCAATGCATGTGCTGTATCCGCAGATGTAGCTGCTCTGCTGGACACAGTTCTATGTAGAGAATTTGATTTTAATGTATATCCTACACTGGGTATTTGGTTCTTGTTCTATAACTATTTTGAAAGTGTGTGGTAATGTTTTTTCATATTTTAAATGGGCATCTGGTTCTTTTTGGTGTTATCTACTTATTTAGGCATTGAATATATAGTTATACATGATTACAGTGAGTAGATAGAAAAGTTGCTTGGATTATGAAATAGTTCATTTGCAGGGGTACTTTGTATTCTAACAGAAATGAGAACTTCCTTTGTAAACTGCCAGCTTCTATATACTTTGTCTTTTTGCAGTGAACTTCTTAAGCTAAAAAAAAACAACTAAGAAAACTTCTGAGGGACTGGTCTCATATTGAAGGTGGCCATTGTGAATTAGTTTTTTAATATACATACTGTCTATTGAAAAATTATTTCTGAACTTTCTTTTGGTTATATGAGAGGAGATCATTATTTCATTCTAATTTATTTGATTCTGAATGAATAAATTCAATACATGAATTTGGTCAGTGTAATCTAATAATTTTTCTTGCCTCAGCAATGTTCAATATTACTGATCTGTTAAAAATAGTGTATTTTAATATGTGTGACTCACATTTTTTTCTTAATGTATATTGTGATCTGTAGGATGTATTGATAATGCTCAAAATCTGCAACTAATGGTATGTGGGAGTGTTTGATATTTTTAGGCTACAATTTGATTTACATTGATTTCAGGAAAGTTTCTATCACCTTAAATTTAAGAAATATCCTTTTCAGATTTCTGTGGGATTATTTTTCTTTGAAAAAATAGGAGCTGTCTTTTTTGCTATCCTGCTGCTCTGAAGAGTACAAAAAAATTATAAAAATGTAATTGGTACCCCAAATATGCAGAAGTAGATTTCTTAGGTATTAACTGCTAAAATGTATATTTTAGACAAAATGCTACAGAAATTGGAGAAGTGAGGGTTAGAAATTAGTTTAGGATTAGAAATTACATTGGTTCATTCTGATTTTTTTTTTAAAGTCTAAAGTGTGCTGCAATAGAGAAGCATATGTCATTTTTATCAGAGCCTTGAGAGTGTAGAGAGGAGAAGTATTAGAGATTGAGGAAAAGGTTTGGACAAAGAAACTTATGTTTTAACTGATTAGTAGTAGATGAGAGGATTATTTAAGAAATTAGTCTTATCGGATCAGAGCTCTTTTTTGGAAAGGAGAAGAGAGATGATTTTGTGGAATGTGGTTTAATTCTAGAAAGCCTAGAAACAAGGAGTATGAGTTAGAGGAGTTACTGCCTATTTGTTAATAGGAGAGTGACTTTTAAGTTAACACTATTCTGACCACATTTTGTGATGTGGTTGGATAAAGAAAGTCCAAGCTTTACCCATCTATTTGAACTGGAATTATTAGGATTGGTGAGAAAGAAGGAAAAAACCTTCCCCAGTTTTCTTGTTATATCTGAGCACCTCCAGTATGCATAGCACTGTGTTAATGCTACAGAAAGACAGGGTTTCTGTATTCAAGGAGCTTATAATTTCAGTGAAGTGTACATATGAAGTAACCACAATATATTGTGACAAATGTTATATTGATGGTTTTGACAAAGTGCAGTAGGGAGTTCAGAAGAGAGTGAGTTATCCTACATTGTGGAGTCTAGCAAGATGAGAAAGTTCATAATTGAAAGAAGAAAGAGTTTTTTTTAATAGGAGAGAGGGGAATATAGAACATTGTTCTCAGAGAGAGCAACATGAGCAAAACCAGATAGCATGAAAGGAGAGTTGAGGAGGATGAGAGAAACCATAGGTGAGAAGCCTGGAAATAGAATTGGGGCTGTGATGAGAAAGACCTTAAACTAGCCTGCAGACATTTGTGTAGGCAATTGGAAACCATTTGAAAATTCTTGAGTAGAATACATGGGCAAATCTGGTTTATAGAAAAAGAACTGGCAACAGGGTAGGAGAAGAGGGAGTCAGAGACCAGGTAAGGAGCTGTTATAGTACTGTGGAAAGGAAAAGAACAAGGACCTGAACTTATACTGCTGAATGGACAAAGCAACACATTAAAGAATTATAACCTAAGTACTTTTCATATCTATTGGAAAGATTTAAAAAAAAATTTTTTTTAAATTCTCACTGAGGATATTTTTTTCCATTGACTTTTAGAGAGAGTGGAAGGGAGGAGGGGAGAGAGAGAGGAAAAAAATCAATGTGAGAGAGACACATTGATTGATTGCCTCGCGCCCAAGCCCCAACTGGTGCCAGGGTTCAAACCTGCAACTGAGGTATGTACTCTTGACCAGTAATCAACCCTGCGACCCTTTGGTCTACAAGCCAATGCTCTAACCACTGAGCAGAACCTTAGAGACAAGCAGCCTGTCAGCCTCTTTAACTTTTTGTTTTACTTTTTATTAAGTAAATTTTCAAACATACTAACAAGATGATAAAAATAGTACAAATGGTCCCTACATGTGTTTATTATAGTGCCTCATGATTATAAACATTTGATACACTTAAATCTTTTATATACTTCAAAAATAAGGTTTTGTTGGTTTATTAGGGAAATGAAAGAAGATGAAGTCTAATAGGTATGAAAATAAAAGTCACTCAATTGTCTACAAAAACAGTTGTGTAATTAAATAATTTGGAGTGAGGGGCAAAAGAGGAGTGACTGGTGGGTATCAGTAACATGTATGTGCCTTCTGGACCCCCATTCAAATATTAGACCTTTTATGCTGATCTTTTAATTTTCTTATCTTTTCTCTCTAATATCTAGCTTCCATATTCTGGGAGATTTCTTCACAGCCTTCTCTCAAAATATATTATGTCCATGAGTGCATACATAATTTTTCTCTATGAAAGTATTTAAGGGCTTTGTCACCACTGTTCTCAAATTTCAGTTAATGTCTTGATGTATTATCCATTGTACCAAGCATTCCTTTGTACCCTCTTAATCTGGAAGCACATATCCTTCACTTCTGGAATATTTTCTTCTATTATTTTTTAACTTTCTGCTTTCTTCTGCCTTCTGGACCCCCTATTCAAATATTAGACCTTTTATGCTGATCTTTTAATTTTCTTATCTTTTTTCTCTAATATCTAGCTTCCATATTCTGGGAGATTTCTTCATCCTTACAACCCTTCTATGTACTTTTTCATTTCTGCTGTTACATTATTAATAGCCAAAAAGATTTGCTTTCAGTGTTTAACCGTAGCATCCTGTTCTTGTTCATATTCTTGTTCATGCATGTAGTGATGCAGTATTTACTCCCTCTGTCTCAAAAGATATTAATATTATTGATAGGTTGTTTTTGTTAGGTGTTTTTTTCCTGTAGTCTGTTTTCTTCAAGTGGGTTTTTTTTAAAATGCTCACCTGAGGATATATTTTTATTGATTTTAAAGAGAGAGGAAGGGAGAGAGAGAGAAACATCGATCAGTTGCCTCCTGTACACCCAGACTGGGGATCAAACCTGCAACCTAGTTATGTACCCTGACTTGGAATCAAACCCGCAACTGGAATGATAATCAAGCAACTGAGCCACTTGGCCAGGGCTTCAAGTTGAAAGTTTCAAGTTTGTTGTTTTTGGCTTCCGCCTTTGACTATTCTCAAATGTTTGTTGAGCTTTGGCCATTCAGTCATGAGAGAGTAGGTCACCCAAAAGGTGATTGGAAGCTCTGTGCATATGAATAGAACTTCCTGACTGTAGGCTTTACTGTAGGGCTAAGCTTTTTTCAGCCTCTGATGTCAGTATCTTTAGTTTGTTTTACTTTTTGTTTTTTTTCTGTATTGTGGTAATCTGATATTTCAAAGAAATTTCAGTATTTTTCCTAGAGGATTTATACTTGACTGGTTTGAATGTTGTCAGTTCCTGAACCTCTTTGGATTCTGCCATGAAAATTTAATTGTCTTTGCATTGTCATTGCTGATTTAGGATTCAGATTTCTTTGGTCTCCTAAATTAGTTACTATTTTTTCTTCCGCTTTCAAAGTCCTAAATTTTGCTGCTTTCCCAATCTTTTTATTCTTGTGGGTTGAAACAAAATTATGATAAGTTAACGTAGTTTTATTTATTTACTGTTGGCACTATTACAGATGTTCCTCGTATTTCCCCCCTTTACCCTCCTTCA